TAGATGATTTAATTAGACAGTTGAATGCCTTGAGATGGAATATTGGTGACAAGAAACTGAAAGTAAAGTGGTGGAACTGCTATACTGAAGGGCACATTCGAAGAAACTGCAGAACATCCCAGGAGAAACTTGCCATGGATGTCAAAAGGCTGTCCCATCTCGTTTTTTCAAAGTGCCTAAAAGAAACGAGAGATCCTGTACCTGCAATACTTCATCGACTGTATCCAGGATCCTGAAATACAGAAAGCTCTGCAAATGACGGATGTAAAGGACGTAAAAAGCACTCTAGTGCACGCCATGAAATTCAAGGCAGCCCAGCAAGCAATTCGTAGAAACCGCCACCCAATCAGACTTGCTCAAGTCCCAAAGACAGAGGCTCAAATGGCTGATTGCCTAGATGATTTAACAAGGCAAGTGAATGCTTTGATACAGAATAGGACTCAGAAGAAACTGTCACTAAAGTGCTGAAGCTGCGATGGTGAGAGAGACATACAAAGGAACTGCAGATACCCGCGAGCATCAAAAACAAGACAGACGATTTAAATAGAAAACACAATGCTTTGAGATGGAATAGGAGTGACAAGAAACCATCTCTAAAGCACTGGAACTGTGGTGCTGAAGGCCACGTATGGAGGAACTGCAGAACACCCCAGAGCACAGAAAATAAGACGATATCCCAGCAATGATGCAGAAAACAAATTAATGGCCATCTCACGGAGTGGAGTTTGAATGATAACAAAAAATCTCATTTTAAAGTGCTCAAGATTTCTGCAGGGAGTCGCAACAGTAATGGACTATTCATCAATGGGCATATCGATGGAATTCCCTGCAATATGACCATCGACACAGGAGCCAATGTTACCACCATTCTCAGAGATTTAGCTCAACAATTTAAAGATAAACTCATTTTGACACCCTTCAGACTGTGTCTGGTAATAAAACTGCACCAAATAGTGAAGTTATATGTAAACATCACATTTGGATGCTGCCTACCAATACACAGCATATGTAACAACAGATGCTACAGGTCCTTGCATGGTCAGATTTGACTTACTAAGGAAATAAATTTTTTCTTGGACCTTCAACAAACTGCTTTCAGCATCTAAGGATGTAACTAGCCAGCATCAGAAGGGATTCTCACCTGGAAACGTCAACGCCTTGTCTGGACACCACTGCTCAGAAAGCTCCCGATATCATACTAAGGTTGAAGAGAAACATGAGCTGCTTAATCAGGTCTCATGACAAATTACTACATCAACATTGGCTAATCTGGACTCGTGGAGTGATGATAAGGTTAAGAAAGACCAGTTGGAACATTTGCGACATTAAACCCATAATTGACTCGATGGAGTCCTCAAACAGAAAACCTACCTGGAAGGACATTTCGATCTATACTCCGACAACAAAACAATACTGGGCTCTCTGGGACTTGCTCCATATTAAAAACGAAGTCTTGTCCTGGAAATTTGAGTCAGATGACAGAAAAGCTTTCTGATGGAGATCCCAGACGTCTTTAAAGAACTACATAGCAGTCCCACAGGAGGCCACTTCAGAATAATGAAGAACTTGCAAAAAGTTCATGAGCGCTTTTAATGGAGTAAAGCTAAGGATGACGTGCAAAAGTGGTGCCGATCTTGCGGTGCCTGTGCAGGTCAGAAAAGACAAAAGAAACATAGCCAAGGGAAGTTACAACTCTACAATATCGGAGCACCTTTTGAACATATCACCCTTGACATCCTGGGACCTCTGCCACAGGCAACAACCACATCCTCATTGTCAACAACACCTTTACATCCCCAGACCGACGGCATGGAAGACAGGTTTGATTGAACTATCCTTAATAACCTCTCATTGGTAATTTCCAGAAACGAACAGGACTGGGACACAAAGTTACCTCTATTTATACTGGCTTACTACAGTGCTGTCCACGAGACTAGTGGCTATTCCTCATCTCAGACGCTCTTCAGTTAGTTGTAATCTTCGCATGCCTTGTGATCTTTTGTTTGGTCGCCCTCCGGATACTCCTTCATCGCCTGTGAAGTACATCCAAGATCTCCAGGCCCATTTGAAGTGATGAACAGATTTGCAAGACAGCGACTCTACTTGGTGAGATATAAGATACTCACCCGATACGACACGAGAGCTGCAGGACATCGATTCAATGAAGAAGACAAAGTGTGGTTGTGGAATCCGATTCGACGGAAAGGACTCTGTCCTATCAACTTTGGATGGTCCTTACACAATCCTAAGCGGGCTTAATAATATTGTAGTTCGGATCCATAAGTCTCCGAATTCGAAGCCCAAAATCATTCTTTACAACAGGCTAGCTCCTTACTATGGCCATAGTATGTAGTGTATATAATGTAAATAGTATAAGACCATAGTCCTTTTTGTTTCTCAATTTGTAAATTTGTGCACTCATTTACTGATTTAGCATTTGATTTAAGTTACCTATTGTAATTATTGTTTATGTTGTTTGTTATTGTAATGTAATGATTAGATTGGCTTCCCGTCCAGGGATTGTACTGCCCAGGATATGCAGTTCTTGGGAATTTTGTATTTAAATAGATAATTTTAGTAGAATTATAATTTAAATTGTTGTATTTCCCTGTGCAATGCAGCACGAGATAAATTTTAAGAGAAAATTATGCTGGAAAAGTGAAAATACAGGATCATGTGAATTTAACTTTGAATAAATGGATATCTCGGGAATTTGTATTGAAATTGAATATATGTAATTGACTACTGCATTAACTGTAACTGTAATTCCATCCTCTTATTGATTTACAGAAATCTCGAGAAGCAGAAAATGCTAGAACTATCTTGCATGGCTGGTTGAAAATTATAGTTAGTTTATGTTTAGTTAGTTGGTTCGTTATCATTACAGTCAAAAGTCCTTAATTCGGACACCCATAATCCGGACCTCAAAACTACAAACTTTCTGCGCATGCGTCGTATTGACCTTTACGGCTGCGAATTTGCATGTGCGTGTGCGCAAAATACGTTTACAAATGCGCGTTTAATGTATAACGGACGGTATAAGCTAAGCTAAAATTATCTAATTATCTATTTCAGTTAATGTTAAAGATTGCATTGTTCTTTAATCTTCGAATTGGATCCGGCTTATTATTTTTTGCAGACTGTTAGAGCAATTTTATAAAAGTAAGCTTGAACTTTCGATTATGTCAAATAGAATTTTCGATATATATTTACTAATATGTAAAGGATCTACAAAGCGAAAGTATGTTTCAGAGTCCATTAAACAAAAAGTGGAATTGCTGCAAAAAAATGGATAAAGGCATATCCTTTGTTTATCTAAACTTTAACATTTGTTTATCTAAACTTTGTTTATCTTTAACGCTGCGGCACGCAATGAATTGAAAGTTGATCTGTCAGCACTATCCTTATCTTCAGGGCAGATGTTTTTATTTTATTTGGCTTATAATTCTTACTAAATGTAGTATTTCATCTCGATGTACTCCGTCTTTGATATGATTTAATTCAAATGCCTCGTCATTATAATTCGCTTCCGATAGTGAAGAAAGTGACAGAGGTTATTGAAAACGAAAAAATTTCAATTGACAAATTAGTCGGTATTCTCGACACAGCAATTATAGGACTTGAACAGCGGAACTTTGTAACTGAACAAGAAATTATGTCTGTTTATAGAATTAAAGAGAATGTATTATCACATAAAAAAACGAAGCAACTTAAACAACTTACATTGAAAGAAATGTTTAATGAAGTAAACAAATAAATATTAAGCTTTTTTTTTTTTTTGTAAATTTTGATACCCTTTAGATCATAATTGTTCTTTATTTCGTAAATTACGGTTTCATATTTTTAATTTTATAATTTCTGCATGCCATTTTACCAGATTTAAACTGATGATCTATAATCCGGAATCGCCGAAGTCCCGACGAGTCCGGATTAACGACTTTTGACTGTATTGCAATTTATTTAGTTCCATGTGAACTAAGATATTTGAATTAGCTTTCTCTTTCAATAATGCTTTGCATTGCTTTGTACTTTAACATTTTTAGTAGTTATGGAACGACGATAAATCAAACAACAACTTCGCCATAATACAAGGGGTACCTTAAAGTCTATCCCATAATCTCTAATTCAAGAAATTTATTAAGCAGTTATATTAAATACTGCAGAGAAATTATTCACACATTGATAAGGAATATCTTTGTAATGCTTATTATATACATTATTTACTCAAGTAATAGGTCCCTCTGTTTATTACCTTAATCAAAGGCAAAATTATCTCTAATAAAAATCCACCTAGCACTGAAAGAAAAACCATATCCTTACAACAGCATACACTAATAAAAATAAAAAAATAATCAATTATTGCAGACTTTTGATAATATGAGTATCACACAGTTTTCATAAGGGCTTGATCTACTAAAAAATAACCAGATTTTAAACTAATTGCTTTTATTTTTAGACATTTCAATAACTCTTCTCTAGTGAAGCGTGTGTTTTTTTAAATTACATGAGAAATTCTCCATAATTTATATAATTAATATTATTTTTATGCACATAATTACATATTAATTTTAATGCATAATACAGAAATATGCACACAAAAAATAAAGTATGTAATCAATGGAAGGAAGTCCATATATTAATATATAATGCATTCTGTAACGGTCCATATTTGATAACCCAAAAAAACCATACCTGAAAATAAATTTTATTGTCATTAACACTTTATTCTCTTTTCTATATAGATATAATACTTTTGAGAATTAAAATAAAAAATACTTTTGAGAATTAAAATAAACAAACAAATTATCATTAAAAAAATATTAATAGGAATGCTGCCGAAAAAAACGACAAGTATCTTATTTCAGCTTTTAAGAAGTATAAAAATAATTTTCTACACGAAAGAACTGTGTATTACATAAAAAGAGTTAAAATAACACCCCCTCTTATTTACATATTACTTCATTAGCATAACTGTAGCTATTAGCTGCATAAAAACTTACCGAAATGTTGAATATGAAATTGCACCTTTTAAAATGTGCCTTTAAATAGAAAACTCATTCAGAAAATCTATAAATAATCCAATACTATCAATAAACAGACGCCGGATGAAAATGTTAATACAAATAAAAAAGGAGATATCGTGATAGCCTTCTTTCGGTGGTGGTAACTGTCAATGACAAACTGCCAAAATCTCTGATTTTGAAATGATTATGATGTAATACTCTTGTTTACGTCGAAACCTTTAGTTAATACAGATCGTACATCTAAGACATACTGATATGAAAACATTCTTCTGCACACCACAACATACGCGGTCGTAGTCGAAGTTCACCTTCGACAGAAAAACACAACAATAGAATTTAATACTAACTCCATCTCGAGGATTGTAATTTGATACACATAATTCAGGTTGCAATTTTGCTAAAAATACAATTCATTCATAAAGTAATAATAATAAAAAATAATTAAATCCCAGGGTAATGTGACTTGCAATTTACCATTTAAATTCAAAATTTTTTAATGTACCATTTCAAAAAATAATTAATTAACATTATTATAAGTTCGTAAAAGGGCAACGTATTTGCACATAGCCTAATTAAACATACCTCTGGAATTTATTTTAAAGACCTTTCTATTTCTAAAATAAATCAAGCCACACACAGCCATATCATCATTACATAAAAAATATATGGCTACAGTGAAGTTGTTTGTAATTTTAATTTAAATTTCCTTAATAGTATAAATGTGCATTTAAAGTAAAACAAAAGCCTCAAATATGGAAATCACATCAGATATTAAGGGTTTTATCTTTAAAATATGCTTTATATCTTTATCTTGTTGTGTTTTACTATGGTTTTCTATATTTTCGTATGGTCTTTTATATTATTTATATATTCCTGCATTCGCACACGTCAAAGCAGTCTATCTCAGCTACGAGTGCGTAAAGTATATATGTCTTATTTAATTGTTTTTACTGAAGAGCAGCTTTAGTTTATGTCACTAAAAATGCGTTTCTTTTATAGGTTTATAGATATATTTGAATATCTTAAATCTTAACTTGAATAGGTGTATTAATCTGTCGATTGAACAGGTGTTCAGATAAGAATGCCTTTGCTTGGCGCTAACCCAGGGTAGTGATTAAGATTTCCGATCAGTTAATGGTATGTTATTCAATGGAAACAATGTGTGTGTGTAGAGAGAGAGAAACAGAGACAACTGACTCTAAAATAATGACCAACTGATCAAAAAGGTTTTAATTTTTTGTGAAGAAAGGAGATGAATATTGCTGAGGGCAATTTGCATCATGAAGTTATTTTGTTCAAGATTCTTGTAGTCTGTTAAAAAATACTAAATAGAAGTGTGGTATATGACTTCATTTGTGGTCATTCGTATCCTTAAGTAATTTATATGTGATTTACATAGAATTTTTCTTCTTAGATTTATAACCATATATATATATATTTTATTTTAAGATTCAGTTGATTATACTTTGCTTTATGTGATTACAGCAAAGCCTCGAAGGTTATCTGCCTAAGGGAAGGGATGCCTTTATGGAGGACTTTCTAAGGGAAGCTTGCTTGTATACACATTACACATGGGGAAAACCACGAAAATGCCCTTGCAGCCAGCCTGTTCCTAGGATTCGAACTTTGGACAGAACTACTTGAGTTCAGCGACTTTATCGCTCGGCTGCTGGTGGGCCTCAGTTGCTTAGAAGGTGCATCCTTTAATTTTATTACCATGAACAGGGAAAAGAAATTGAGATACATTTTTAAAAGATTGACCTGAAACTTAATTGGTTATAATTTATTAACAGCTGTAGTATTTCTATTTAAATTAATAATTTTGAAAAGTCTATTAAAATTCTTCCATTTTGAAGTGGTCACTTAGTCGTAGCAAATTAAATCGCTCATCTCTTACGTGTAAGTTTTAGATGCTGCCAAATTCGTATGCTCTTTAACAAGGGAGTAGTATCTTTATTACTTTAGAGTTATTAATACAGTTGAACTCGCGTATAAGGAGCGTGAAGGGACTGTGATGTTTGCTTGTTATAACCAAGTGCTCGTAAAAAATAGTCATCATGACTGCTACTGCTATTTGTGAAAAAAATTCATACAAACTGACTATATTTGTTTTTTATTATTATTTCTGTACAGTTCAAAAGAAGTTTGTTAATCTGCTTTGAACTGTCTTGCATTCTTTTGTTATTGTTCTTAACAATTACAGTCATTCTTATTTTAAGCAAATGCAGCCATTAATTTTTCATTGTTCTTTAACAGTGTTGAAACAGTAGAAGAAGCTGAATCATACTTTGGTTAATACTCTATTTTAGGGTGGCCCATGAATCATCGCCAAGTTGTTGTTTCATTTATTGCCAAATTGGTTTCATTTATGGTAATCTGAGTAGTTGAATCTTAATGGAAATCCTACTTTGATGTGATTGTTTGCATGATTGCAGTGAATTTGACTGATCAAAAAATATTTTTAAGGGCTTATTTCTGCATTGGATGTCAGTTAGGAAGTTGTGCTGTACACTGTAAAATGGCTGTATGTGATGAGATTAACCTGAAGTTTCTGTATGATTTGGAATGAAAGGGAAAAAAGTATTAATTGAATGGTGTATAAATGAAGGTTTATTTAGTGGTCATTATAAGTGTCCTGTTTGTGCGAAGGAAATGCCTATGTTCGAACGTAAAGATTGTTCAGATGGCTTTAAATGGGTTTGTCACAAAAAAAGTTCTTGCAAGAAATGCCACCAACAGTCTGGCACGACAGAGGATATTTTTTACTCTCATTTTTGTGAATTTATGTGGCAGTATGCATATTCTAGTTCAGATAATTTTAGAAAGTTTTTGGGATGCTGTTAAGGAATTTTGTGTGCCACAGACTGAAGACACAGAAATTTCTAAATATGTCAATACTTCCTTTTTGTTATGCGTACATACAATAACATGTATTTCCTTTTTTATGTTCTTTCATTGTGTGATTTAAAATGCAGTTTGTCGAGCTTCGATTGGCTGCAAATTGTATTCAGTTTTGGTGATGAATAACTTTGTTTTAACATTATATGATGTCGTTATTCTCCTGACTTTTTTTAAAGTGAAAATACATCAATGTGTACATGGACAAAGTCAAGGGAGTGCGTAATGCTGAGTTTGTGCAATTCTTTGATTTTTTTTTTTTTTTTTTAAGTGAAATTAGATCGATGTGTACATGGACACCGAGTTTGTGCAATTCTTTGACTTGTTATTTTGGTTTCGTGTAGCGGCCATCTTAAAATTGTGCCTTGCTGGCCAATCGCCAGTTTTCGCCAAGAGGTACCCTGAAATATATTTTTACCAATGCTTTTTCCAGATTTTAGAATTTTTTAAGCCATCCTCTAATGCCCATAAAATCCTTACATTTTCGTCAAATGACAAAACTTTTACACCTCAACATCGTAAGACAAAATTTAACGAGCATACTGTATGAATGCAGATCAAAGAACGACTTCCACACAAGTCCACTATGCTGCTACTCCTGTATTAAGTAAACTTCTGTACAGTCAACAAACTCTGTCATCTCCATCTGTCTCCTCAAGGTCATCGTGGGATGTCCTCGCTCTTCGCACATACACTCTGCAAAATGAAAACGGCTGCCATCATGTGTTCACAAGATTTATGACTCAATAATAACTTCCAGTTGACTTTGGAATGTTAAAGGAATTATTTCAAGAAAGGATTAGCTGAGCTGGAGAGTCAATAGAAATTTTATGAACTGCAAAAATATTGCTCGCTATAATTGGGGTTTGTTTGTTAAAAGAAGTTATGCTGCCATAGACTTAACATTGTACCAACCAAGTATTTCTGATTTCCTCATTGCTTCTCATTAAATCAGGGCTTGTTATAAGCAAGTTGTACTGTAATTCATGAAAGAATTAGCAATTCCAACACAACTTTGATGCTAAGATGCATCTTGTTTTTAATGCAGTTTATTGAAAAAAGGGTGCATCTTGAGATCAAAGAAATAAAAATTAGGCTAATCTTTGGAATATGGTAACAGGTAGTTTGGCGACATTTTGGTAAGGCGATAAAGTTTACTAGCTAGGACTTTAGCAGTGTACATGGATAAAGTCAAGAGTGTGTGCAATGCCATTTTTGTGCAATTCTGGGATGTCTTTTTAAGTGAAAATAGGTCATAGATACCATGTATGTGCAGTTGGCCAGTGAAAATAGGTCATGGATACCGTGTATGTGCAATTCTTAAAAACGCAGCAAGCAGTTTGTGATTCTGCACTTTCTCCCAATTTTGCACCTAATCTTCGTCATGATTAAGCACTTTTGTTCCATAAAAGTTCTAGCATAGACGTAATTCAACTAGCAGATTGTTGGAAAAAAAAATGTTGAGTTAAAAAAAAAAAAAAAAAAATGCCTTTACTTTGTGAAAACAAATTGGTGTCCAAACAAACTAGCAGGTTGCTGTAGCAGGGTTGGTCGCCAAAAAAATCGCCAAGTTACCATAATCCAAAGATTAACCAAAAATTATTTACTTCTTACCTTCTGACTGAAACTGTTTTCAGACTTTCACTTTGTGACTCTTTAATTTTTTGGATTTTGAAGTACACTTGGATCCAATGCATTTTGAAATTTAGCAAAAATAGATTGAGATCTGCCATTACCCTGATGAATTCTTAACTCAGAGGAATTAATTCTCATTATTCAGTTTTTAAAGTGTATGTATTTATAAACAAATATATTTTACTTGTTTCTCCCCCTAGCAATTTGAAATTAAATTTTACAGTCTTAGGAAGTGTATTATGCATTCATTTCTAACTTATATACGAGGGCTATCCAGAAAGTAGATTACGTTTTGGAATAAAAAAATAAACAAAGTATAGGAAACAAATTTTATTATATACAGATGAAAGCCACACTCAAATACTACTTTTCTACATAGTCACCATACAAATTAAGGCATTTATCGTAGCGATGTACGAGCTTGGAAATTCCTTCGTCGAAAAATTCGGCCGCCTGCGCCTTCAACCACTTCGTTACCTCTTCTTGCAGCTGTGCGTCGTCATCAAAACGCTGCATAGCCAGCCACTTCTTCATTGCTGGGAATAGGTGGAAGTCGCTCGGTGCCAGGTCGGGACTGTACGGCGGATGAGGAAACAACTCCCACTTAAAAGATTCAAGAACTTTACGAGTGACATTTGCCGTGTGGGGCCGGGCGTTGTCGTGAATCAACAAGATCTTAGAGCTCAACATTCCTCTGCGCTTGTTTTGAATTGCTCTTCTGAGTTTTTGGAGAGTTTGGCAATACCTTTGAGAGTTTATTGTAGTGCCTCTTTCTAGGAAGTCCACCAAAATTACACCTTTTCTGTCCCAAAAAACAGTCGCCATCATCTTCCTTGCCGACATTGTTTGCATGCATTTCTTGGGTTTTTGGGGAGAACTTGTGTGCCCCCACTGCATTGATTGCAATTTTGTTTCACAGTTCACATGTTTCACCCATGTTTCGTCACCAGTAACGATGCGATCGAGTAAAGAGTCACCATCCTTATGGTAAGCGTCCAAAAAGTTCAACGCTGCAGCCATTCGCTGATTTTTGTGGTCCTCTGTCAAGATTTTTGGAATCCATCTTGCACAAAACTTGTGGTAACCAAGCTTTTCGCTGATGATTTCGTGCAACAAACTTCGCGAAATTTGTGGAAAACTCAAAGAAAGTTCCGTTATTGTGAAATTTCGATTTTCACGGACTTTAGCATCGACTTTTTCGAGAAGTTCGGCGGTCACTATGCTGGGTCTCCCACTTCGATCTTCGTCGTGAACATTGGTTCGGCCATTTTGAAATCTTATGACCCACTGACGCACTCCACCTTCAGTGATAATGTTGTCCCCATACACTTCACGAAGCTGCCGATAGATTTCCATCGGTTTACAGTTTTTTGCAGTCAGAAACCTTATTACTGAGCGCACCTCGCGGGATTTTCAATTAACGCAGACATTTCAAACCGTCACAGTATCTGAACGGAGCACAGCACGAACCTCTCACTAGCACGGCTAGATGCAGACTGAGCTGCGCAACGCTCTGACCCCAAGATGGCCGCGCTAGCCCCGCCCCTAGCGGACACAGACGAAAACGTAATCTACTTCCTGGATGGCCCTCGTATATGTTATAATAAATTGGCCTGAAAGGGGAATTTCGTAGAATTGTTCTTAGTAATCATGGCTAGAGTGTGCAGATGGTGAAAGCAGGTAACTGAAACTCTTTTAAAAAATCACTTGATACTCCAAACATCTTTTTATTACTCGTTGATTCTTATCAACATACCTCATTACATGACATAGCTTAATGGGGACAGTCTACACGCCACAGTTTTAAACTGTGTTGTTATGTTTTCTAAACAATGGGAAAATATAGCCAAGCCATAGATGTGGTGTATTCAGGCATAAGCAAGCAGGGAACGATAGTGTGCACAAGGCAGCTGAAGTATTTGTACTTTGAAATCCTTCTCTTGAGCTATGATATTGGACGAAAGCTCATAGCAGTGCAGAATACTGCAAGGAAAGAGTGACGTCTATGCAGAAGCAAAAGGGCTGGTCTTTTAATTCAAACTAGAAATTCAAAGGTCTGTTGCCAATTAAGTGTATATGTGCATATATATTACATAAACACATGTGTGTGGTGTACTGACTACACCAGCTCAAACTTGCTTTATACTTTACATTTGCATTTTTTGGCCCACTTTAAGGCATATAAATAAATAGGTGCTGTATATTGTTATAATGATTGTATTCTGACGATATTCTGGAAGCTGATCTGTCAGCACTATCCTCATCTTCAGGGCAGATGTTTTTATTTTATTCGGCTTATAATTCCTTACTAAATGTAGTGTTTCATCTCGATGTACTCCGGTATGATTTAAATCAATTTCCATATCATTATAAATATCGCAAATACACGTCAAATAGTTTTCTGGTTGCAATTTTCTAATTTCGATTTTTAATTGTATAATTTCTGCATGCCATCTTACCAGATTTAAGTTGATGATCTATAATCCGGAATCGCCAAAGTCCCTCGAGTCCGGATTAAAGACTTTGTACTGTATATATACATATATATATATTATTTATTTACTATAGTTATAGTTATTTATTACTAAAGAAATATTGAATATATTATCTCCTAATATAAATTTAGTATATATAAGAGAAAACAAGGGAATTATTAGTAATAAATAGCATAATACTTGCATTAAAGCTGCAAAGTAATAAAAAAATAATTTATTTTTAGTAGATTAGTACATTATTGAATATATATGTATTTTAAAAATAAAGTAGTTAAGTTAGAATTCTATTGAAATGAATTTACATATAGCATTCTAACTTAACTACCGTATTTTTCGCCATATAAGACGCACCCAATTTTAAAGGAGGCAAATCTAGAAAAAAAAGATTATGAACCAAATTCTGTAGTAAAATATTTTATATCAACTGTATGAAGTTAACAGCAGTTTAAGAAAAATTTTATGTCAACCATGTAACATACTAAGAGCTATCTTTACTCTCATAAACAGTCAGCAAACAGTGAAAGTAACAAAAATAAGGCTGTCATGTTTCTATTCTAACCCCAAGAATTCCTCTTCTTCGCTGCTATCAGAAATGAGGAAGGACAGATCCACACAGTCATTGTCATCACTTTCTTCCTCACTGGTGTCAAATAAGACGTCGTCTTCTGTTCCATCCAAGGCATTACTAATGCCACACTTCTTGAATGATTTTACAACAATGTCTTTCTTTACGGAGTCCCATGACCTTTTAACCCATTCACACACTTGTGTGATAGTATTCCTTTGGCATTTTTTGTGCAATTCTGGTTTTGGTGCGCATAGAAAGGCCAGATCTCTTCATAAATCTATAGCACCACGATGGTGATCCGGTGAAATCCTGAATGCCTTTCTCCACAGCAATGCGTTTGGCCTCATAAATTATCATTTTTGTTGAGACAGAAAGTCCATTTTGCCGGTGACGTGTGATCCACTCCTTTACTTCTACCTCTAACTCTGGCCACTTTGCAGTTGGTCCACGCAAGGTGTGCTTGCTTTTATCCAACTTTTGGAGCTGATCCTCCTGTTTCCTCCACTCTCTTATCATTTTCTCAGTTGGAGGTGGCCCAAAGTGTCTCTCCGCTGCTCTGTTTCCATGCTCCTTAGCAAATTTTATTACTTCCAGCTTGAAAGCAACTTTATATGCCAGTCTCTTCTGCTTCGACATCTTGATGGGGTGGGGTGGTATGAAATATGATATATTTCATTCAGATATACCATACTACATATATCACAGCTCACAGCTATCCGCGCCTCCGCTTGCTCCCGCACTGCGATTGGCTGAGCGAAGAGACGCGTGCCTTTACCCGCTCCCGCGCTGGCTTATGAGACTCTAAAAAGTGCACAAAGCCAGCGCGGGAGCGAGCGAAGGCACGCGCCTCTTCGCTCAGCCGATCGCAGCGCGAGGCAGAGACCGTCCAAATACAGTGCGAGGCAGGGCGGAGCTTCCTGGTCTCAGACGGCGCCAAGAGGTGGAAGGGAACAGAGTGGCCGAGTATTCCTGCGGTAAGGTATGTATGCAGAGGTGGAGGGACAACGGAGGGCCATGGTGGGCTTTTGAATTTGCCGTATAAGACGCAGGCACTTTTCCCCCCTGATTTTGGGGAGAAAAAGTGTGTCTTATACGGCGAAAAATACGGTACTTTATTTTCAAAGGAAATAATATATTCAATAATCTACTAGAAAATATATGTATGTATCTATACATACAAGTATAACCATGCTTCTGAAAGATTTCATCAACAAGCTGATAAGTTTCCAGAAGTATGCTTTTGACCTACAAAGGCAAAATAATCCTTTACTGCCACATATTGGAATTACCAATGTACCTATAGTAATGTTTGATTTAACAGAAAGTAAAATAATTGATGAGAAAGGTGCAAAATCGATTCAGATAAAAACAGCAGGTGATGAAAAAACTTACCTTAGTGCTTTCCTGCTTAGCAGATGATTAAAAATTAGAATCCATGGTTACTTTCAAAAGGACAATGATGCCAAAAAGTAATTTCTCAAATGGTGTTTTCTTTCATGTTGACAAGAAAGAATGGTTGGATAAAAACTGTGTACAGCTGTGGATAAGAAATGTTTGGCAAAAGTGGTCTTGTTGCCTTAAAGAATCCAGAAAGTCTTTTAGTTTGGGACATGTTCAGGTCCCATCTAATGGATAATGAGAAGAAATTGATGAGAGTGTAACACAGATATGCCAGTTATTCCAGGAAGATAAAAGCCTTAATTCAGCCGTTAGGTATGTGCATCAATAAACCATTCAAAGGAAATTTAGAATAACAGGAAATTTGTGAATGTTAGAAGGAGAAAAACATTTGCAAAAGATGGTCAACTGCATAGTGCCAGTCTAGAAATAGTGTGCGAGTGGATAATCAAAGCATGGCATAAAATTAAACCAGACGCATTTCAAAAGTCATATAAAAATGTAGTATCTAACAATCTAGATGGAAGGGAAGATGATTATTTATTTATGAATCTGGGTAACACTGTTGGTGAAGATGAAAACAAATAAATACAGAAGTAAATTACAAACTTTAAAATTGTGATTTCATTTGAAAATAATGAGTATTTTACAATGAAAAAACACTATATTGACATAGTGCAATTACAAAAAATCGGTTAAATTGTTTTTCTTTCTTGCATATGCAGAAATCAGTAACCACTTGTTTCCCACCAAACCAGAAATGTATTAAATCAACGCTTTTGCCTAGGCCACTGTTAACAAAGAAACATTCTTAAACTGATATAAATTTTGAATAACACTTTATCAGTTTTGGAAAGATCAGACAAAACAAGATAGTTGTTCCTGAAGAAGGTTCAAGTTCTAATCATATTCTTCTAAGTTTAAAATTTCTCACTGTCAAGACAGTTGTAATAAAATTAGTCACCTTGTTGTAGGTTGGAAGTATATAAGTAGTAATAATATTTCAGGCAATATAGGTTGTAGCTTTCTTTTCGTATACCTTGTATGTGAATTTCCCCCCTTTCTGAACAGTTGGGCATATTTGTCCAACTGTTTATTTGCATAGGAGTGTTTTGCTTTAAGATATAAAAGCTATTTTTATTATACACTTTTTATATTGTTTTTATTAACTAATGTTGTATTATGTACCTTGCCAATGGCTGAAAGACTAAAACTACAGAATATTCTTAATTTCAAATTGAATTCAATTCATGTCAGTCAAATGGGCTGGTTGATTGAATACTTTTGTAATTTTCCTTGTATGTTGCCTAAACATGAGCACATGCAAATATAAAAGTCTGTATAAATGTAACTCTTCTAATAGAGATTATCTTTAAGTATTTTTTATTGATAACAATCACTTTATTATTTATAATTGAGCTAAATTAATTCTTATAAATAAATATTACACTAATTTAATGTATGGATTTTCTTTTTTAGGAAATCTGAACATTTACATTTCCTGATGCATCCTGTGTTTTACACTGAATATTTTATTATACCCTTAATCCTTTAAAGTAATGTTAATCAGTTATCAGTGAAAAAATAAAAATATTTATGAAAAGGTGATGTGAAGTATGCTTAAAACTTATGTAGAAGATAGTTACTTTTCGTTTATTTGCAAGCTTTAAATTGTACTTAATTTTGGTCATCTGTGTATGCATTTCCTAACGACATAAAAGTATTGTAAACTTTTATTTGTCTGTGTTTTTGCTGTTAAATATTTTCATAAAATTTAGGGGAATGAGTATGATATTTGTAGTGCATACTTATTTATTCACATGTTGTTATACAGTTTTTGGTGGGCTCATATCTATTTTAAATTTTTGCAGTGCAGCCTGTGCAAAAGGTAAATGCAAATACCCTTCTGATAATATCACTTTAGTAGAAAAGTCTCACAATGAAGTAAGCAGTATTATTTTTACATCATGTGATTTATCTCATAGTTAAAATTTGGCAAATAGTGATGAATAAAATAATATAAGATTAAAACATTTAAACTTGTTTTAAAGTTGATATTAATATTTAACATGAAATAAATTATAATTCTATTATTTGTGTGTCATGTAAAATAGCTTTTTTATCAATAATTAGACATTTTCTGTGAATTCAAATTGTTTGATTCGACTGAGAAATTAAGGAATTTGTGTACTTTTCTGTTATCAAGACCAGATACCGAAATATATGTATGTATGTATGTACGTGTTTGTTTTGGTTTGGTTTATTTAATTATGGCAAAGCACACTAGGGCTATCTGCCTAAGGGGAGGGATGCCTTTGTGGAGGACTTTCTAAGGGAAACTGGCTCGTATACACATTACACATGGGAAAAACCACGAAAACACCCATGCAGCCAGCTTGTTCATGGGATTCAAACCTCGAATTTATAAACACACATACATGCATATATACATACATTTCTAAATCCAGTCTTAATAACAGAAGAGTATCGGAATCAGTATCGTTTTTTCCATCTAATCTAAAAGCTTCAATTTCTGTCTTCCTCTTTCGAAAAAGATTAATTTACTCAAATATAAATTTAGAAGGTACTTTCGGTTAATCTTTGGATTATGGTAACTTGGTCAAAATTTGGCGACCAACCCTGCTACAGCAACCTGCTAGTTTTTGTTTGGATGCCATTTTGTTTTCATGAAGTAAAGGCATGTTTTTTTTTACTCAACATTTTTCTCCAACAATCTGTTAGCCGAATATACGCTTATGCTAGAACTTTTGTGGAACAAAAGTGCTTAATCATGATGAAGATTAGGTGCGAAATTGGGAGAAAGTGCAGAATCACAAACTGCTTGCCGCGTTTTTAAGAATTCCACATACATGGTATCCATGTACACGTCAACCTATTTTCACTTAAAAAAAAATCCCAGAATTGCACAAAAATGGCATTGCGCACACTCTTGACTTTATCCTTGTACACTGCTAAAGTCCTAGTTAGTAACCTTTATTGCCTTACCAAAAACTCGCCAAACTACCTGTTACCATATTCCAAAGATTAGCCATACTTTCTGATTAAATAGGCCACTGCATAAGTCTTTGGCAATATTTGAAATTTTTATATTATAGATTGGGCAATTGTTTGCCAGTTTTGGTAATTATGTATGTTGGCTGCTTTAAATTAGAAGTATCAGAATAAGGAACTAAAGTTTGAAACTTAACATAGGAATTGTGATTATATTTTTAACTCCTTTGCGATGGCATGTTGCTGAACTAAAAACCCTCTGCTGATGAGTATGTCATATATGCATCAGTAAAAAATGTCGCTAGCAGCTGGGTGATGCACTGGTGTAACACATCGTCTCCAAGGTTAGTTGCGTTAAGCAGTATGCCATCTGGTAAGAGGATTATAAAAGGGTATATTCTTATTATTTGCTTCTCCTGTTTCAGCATGTAGGACAACTGCTATGTTTTTGGCATATTTTCAAGTATAGATGCAAAAATAGCCAACACACACATACACATACCACACATGTGTTTGTTCTGCCCATAGTGCACATGGATTAATTTTTTTTTATATATAATCATCATTTTGCTGAGCAGTATTTACTGTAAATAATGGCCATATAGACTCTTGTTTCTTGTCATAAAATGTCTTGTTTCATACAAGATATTGTACTCTTCTGTTATAAGGACCAGATTCAATGTATGTATATGCATATATATGTGGGTACAGACACAGATACATATGTATGTACATATATACGTGCATACATTTTTGGACCAGGCCCTGATAACAGAACAGGACTGAAGATATTTTATTTGGTTCTTTTCTGTTTCGCTGGCGCAAATCTTGCCAAGCAAACTTTGTTGGCGACAGCATACACTATACACATAAAAAATGTTAGTTCTAAGAATTTTTTATTTTGATATGGTTTGATTTTAATATGGTTTGAAATTTTGTAAAAATCCAATAAGTAAAAACAATAAATTTGTAAAAAGACATGGTACTATTCCGTTTTGAGGACCATAAAAAATCGCCAAACTATTGTTGATGCCAGTGCTGCCAAAAATAATTGCGGCGACCCTAATGCAAGAAAGGAAGTATAATAGTAAATAACTATTTAAGGTTATTGTTTTAATTTAGATGAAAGGATAATTTCATATAACACTTTTTGGTACTTACGTATTAACGCAACCAGGCCAAAATTCGCATAAATCGCCAAATTTGGCGACCCTACTCACGGCAACCTTATGTTAATTTATTAAAGCGAGGTGTGCGTAGTTCGTAGCCTACATTGTGCCATTCGTAGATTTTTTTTTAAGTTAAAACATGTCGCCTAAATTTCGAACTTTAAGCCTAAACTCCAAAAACGCGGTTTTCGCACATGCAAAAACTACGTTTTGAACACATGATTTAAGCTAAAAATCCAAAACAAAAACAAAAAATTTAGATAGCAAAAATGTAAAGTTTCTAACCAAAAATATTTGACAAGAATCCATGTACACAGCGACATGTTTTAACTTAAAAAAAATCTACGAATGGCACAATGTAGGCAACGAACGAATCTACGAACTACGCACACCTCGCTTTAATAAATTAACATAAGGTTGCCGTAAGTAGAGTAAACAAAATAATATTAAAAACTGTATTAAAAATTATCTGTAATTAATAAATGTACATTTTCTTTCTATTCATACTTTTTTACTCAAACTTACAAATCGCGCCAACCTGGTTGCGATAATACGTAAGTACCCACTTTTTTATTATTATAATTTATATAAAAATGGCTAAACATAACTGAATGGGAGCATAAGAGTAAATAACTATTTCAAATCATTATTATAATTTATATAAAAAAAGGCTAAACATAATTGAATGGATTTCTGCATCACTATTTCACTACCGAGTTATTGCTAAAGCATAATTTCATCTCGTTAGTTGTTCAAACATAATTTTCTATCATGAATGATTCCTTTTCTTTGAAAAATTCTAATGCAGACTTTTCATCATCATGGGCAATTTCCAAATTGTTAAATTCATAGGATATTAAAAAAGGATTTAAAAATTAAACTAGTATTTCAATGGCGTCTTAATAAAGAGCTATCTAAACTTATGCAATTTGAAACAGCGTGTACGCTAGATTTGGCACGCTGTTAAATGGGCACGTTTGCTAGTTTTGGCGCTTTTGCGCATACATTTTTGGTGCAATTTTTTTACGGTCCTCGAAACGGAATAGTACCGAAGACATTAATTTAAGAATTTACTATGCTTTCATGGTTCAACATCCTGATTCGCCGGTTCTCATCTCATGATCCCAAGTGATCTCATCTCATGTAAACTATGCTACAAAAATCTAATTCTCTCAGTAATTATGTACATTAATTTCAAGTTAAATCTTAATTTGGAATAATAGTTTAAATGCAAGAATTATTTCAATTCGTACGAATAGCTTACTCAAATTATGTAAAACCGCAGTGCTTTACTTCGCTGGTGCATTCTCATTAGAATTGATGAATTTAACCCTTGATTTTGCCTTTCTATATTTTGCCTTCTGGTGAGCAGTCTGATTGCATACTAATTAACTTAATTCCCACGAATGGTCTTAGGGCATAAAATTTAACTATCTTGTAAAAATTCTATGTAAATGTATGTCAGTATTGAAAACAATCAATCTGATAAGAAATGGCTGCAACTTGTTTTGAAAATGAAGCGTAAAAGGTTACAAGCGAAGATATTCCGTTTTGTATCAATTGTACCATTATTGGCGACTTTAATCGTTTGCGCCGGCAAAACAGAAAAATACCTTTTATTTTATTATAATTTATGAACAGAATAGTACTTATAAGTTGTAAAGATAACCAAGCAAACAGTTTTTGGTAATGAATTGCCAACTTTCCATGATGGTATAGATAATCAAAACGTACCTATAAATGTTTAGTTACTGCTAATATTTGCTATTAATAAAAGACTTAAATAAATATGCTTTAGCAGTATATGTTTCTTTTAAGCAAATTTCATATAACTTTGAATTCAAATTTTATATAACTTTAAATTCAAAGATATTTATTTAATTATTTATGCTTAGGTTATAGAATCTTCCCTTCTCTGCTATCATATAGTGTCTAGAACTCAAAGTATAGCCAGGCGACTTCTGATCAAGGTATTTGTATTCCAGGAACCATAATGAAAGAGTGCTTGTAGCTTCAAAAACTAAGTTACTTAAAAGAGCTTGTTAAACTTTCTTCCATATAAGAAATGGCCACTTTATTCACTGATTTAGAATATGTTATGTATCTTAAATCAGTGATCTTATACTCAGATTGTATGTAGGCCAAATGCTGAAAGCAGCTAATGGACTAAATTTTTATTTTGAAGAACATGAGAATTTATACGTATGTTTGAAATTTATTAATTATGAATTTCAAGTGTGTGATCATGGCAAAGCCTCGAGGGCTATCTGCCTAAGGGGAGGGATGCCTTCTTGGAGAACTTTCTAATGGAAACTGACAACATTACACATGGAGAAAACCATGAAAATGCCCGTTCACGGGATTCGAACCTCAGACTGAACTACCAGTGTTCAGTGACTTTACCGCTCGGCCGCTGGTGGGCCAATGCGTGAAAATAACTAGGCATGTTTGTGTTTTGTTTTCAAAAGGATTGTTTTATAATTATATATATATATATATTCATCCGTTCTCCCAAATTCGAGATCTTTTGATGTTATGTAATGCTGCTTGAAAAGTGTAACCAAAATCAATAACTAACGAATCATAGCTTCTCTGGAATCACACCTACTCTGGTATAAAAACCCCTGGCAGTTAATTACATCACTTCTGCTAGCTCCCACCTTGCTAATATCTCCTCGCTTTGCTTTCCTGTCTAAAGAGCCTGCATCTTAATGGTAAGAATCAATGTAAACAGCAATTTATCATATTTCATTATGATTGAAT